TAGATAGTTCTTTAGTTGTTTAATATATTTTAAGTTATTTTCAAGATTTCAGGTTTGAATTTATTTATTTTTGACTTAAGATTATGAAGTATGAATCATAACGTTTAAATATTTTACCATATATAGTCCAGTCATTTAAGCTTAAATTAGGTAAGAATTTCGGAATTTGAGATACCCAGCTGTAAGTCTGTAAATACTTGTATATTGACATTTAAAAGTTGTCCCAAAATCTACATTTTACCATCATAGAAGCATTCACCACTCGACAGAGTAGTCAATGCTCAGTTTCAGCCACAGTTTGAAAGTTTATTATTTCTATATTTTGTACTTATTATTATTTTGTTATTATTCTGTTTATTATTTTCATTTATATTTTTGTATTTAGGTTTAATTTTTTATTTTTTATAAACCTCAACAATTTTGTATTATAAAACTTCAATAAACTTACGTACACCCTACCATATGTAGGTTTTGAGACAACTTTTAAATGTCAATATACAAGTATTTACAGACTTGCAGCTGGGTATCTAGAATTCCGAGGTGAACTTACTATAATGACTGGACTAATAACGAATTAATCGTAATGCTAGAATAAAATTTTATAACTGCTCTTATATTCTTTGCATTCATACCTTGTGCATTTAGTACTCTTAATAAAGTGCATTTTAATAACCACGTTAACATAATTTAGAAATAAATAGATGGATGTAAAAAAACTCATAAGAAATAAAAAATAATAAATATTGATCTTCATGCAGTTTGTTTATGAGAATGCTTTTATATAATTTTAGTCAGTCAAAAAAAAACATTTTTTTATATTGAACTACCTTGATGGATAGGGTGTTCCGTGGCATAAGTAATTGCTGAACGCGCTGCCTCGTGTGGACGAGGTCTCGAGTTCAAGCTCCCGTTTTGGACAACCTGATATCGTGCTGCAGCGATGTCCATTTGTACTTGAAAATATAGATTGAAAATATGTTTCCAATTGAGAATAGCCCATTTTGGGCACTACGGTGTGAAATGGCAATAGGAAATCTCTCACATTCTCACCTGTATTGAGTAGGGGTTTAACTCAACTCGTGCCTTAGGGCAGTGATGGATAAAATTTGATGACATAAAAAGTTTTTGGGTTTTTTATACTTTTGTTACAAGTTTTAACATTGTTGTCAAATTATCTATCAATATTGTTCTATACGAAATATTTGTTTTTTGACTGCAAAAAAGCCTGAACTTTATCTAGTTCCGAAATCTATATATTGAACATCTAGAAAAAAAACTTACTATTTTTAATTAGTTTTTTTTTATTGTTCGTAAGACAAACATCAAATATATATCACAATCATTAATTGTAGACTTTTTATTATCAATACAATTCCAATTTATCAAAGAATATGATAAATCTTAATCAAATCAAGGAAATTAATAACTATAGTGTGTATCTATTTAATTACTATTTATAATGCTCTACTAAATACTAATTGCAATTTGAAGAATGTTTCTATTTTATTCATTTTCAATGGTGAGTTTTATTTCTAATTTTTATGTTGAACGATTATGTAATGATGTTTGATATTCTAATAAATATGAAATTGAAGTAATCACTTATTATCAAGAACACTTCAATTTTCAATGTGCGTTCATCGTCTTATGGTTAGTTTTTCTTTAAATATAATTTACATGAAACATAAAGTACAATTAAATACAATAGAACTTTGTACTTCATTTAATTATATGTGATTACATAGTATATTACATCGTATCTTATCGAAATTATTCAAAAATAATATTCTTAACAACTATTCGTATTATAATATATTAACCATCGCAAAACTTATCAAAATAAATATGTACGTGACTTGATAAGAGTATATGGTAACAATTTAAATTATTACACCTTCATAAATAGGTTTATCTTTAGTATTTGATAAGTAAATCGTTAATGAGTATATTTGATGGGAGATAAATACATCTGAATTATTATATAGCCTTTTACTCTATATAGTTCTCAAAGAAAATTAATTTATTAGCTATGTTATGTTATATATGGTATAAAATTCAATGACAATATTTGTCGCAATGCTGTAATTTTGAAATTT